TTGCACCATTTACACACATTATTAGGATCGAAGCAAAGATTGGGAACCATCGACTGGAGAGCAAGTGGAATCCAATGCCCACCGCCACTAAGAATAGCCATTGCCGAATTTTCAGTTACTTTAAGAGTAATTTTATTCATCTCCAGTGAGGATGAAAACATAGTTTAGGTGACTTTAAATGATAGGTTAAATGAAATGTGAAATTATATAACTTATTTAATTTCACCTATCATTTAATGCCACATTAACGCTGTATTTTCATCCCCAGTGGGAATGAATAGCATTACTCTTACTTTAAACCTTTCACATTTAGCAATGTAAATGAAGTGATGAAAAATGATTTATATAGGCAATCCTAGTTAGTTTGTATATTGACATGAATGAATCAATTTATTTACGCTTCATCTAAGCCAATAATACAAATGAGATTCTAAATAGCGTTTCTTTTTCAAAATATTCATTCATCACATAGGCTTGTAACACTTTTAAATAATGATCTTTTACAGTATAAAAAATTATGTGTTTTTATTTCTTTAATTTATCATATAATTTTCTAAAAAATTCAACCCCATATTGAGATTTATTAAAAAATAGAAAATACACAGCCCCATATTCCAAGTTTTAAATTACTACATTTAAGATTCATCTCATATAATTGAACTGTTTCACTTAGCTTCTAGTGCTTAACAGCATTCTGTAACTGCCTTTCAAGCAGAAAGATTCCACAATAACATATAGATACGTCCTGATTTGTATCTTACAGCAAGAATTCACAGATCAATTTTTCTTGCATCAGCTAAATCTCAATAAACTTCATTGATTAAAGCAATCTAAGAACATCCATATATTTTAAGCTTATGGCATTCCATCAATTCGTTGGTTTTTTTTTTCTCAGTTCCAAATGAAAATTTATATTACATTTTAATTGTATGTTCATACACAGGAAATTTCAAACTTCAATCTTGCTTGACATCATCCACTCCTACAGATTTTTGTGAAGGATCTGGGTGTACAATGTTCTGTTCTACTGTAACCTGTTGATACACAAGTTGTAGCCCATTAACCATTTGGATTAGTGAAACTAAAAAGATGATGGAATAGAAATTGGTAACAGAAACGACAAGCAGAGAGGAAACACTTAATAATGCAAGCTGAAGAAAGGGGTTAAACTAAAATCATTTAACTAATAATGCAAGCTGAAGAAAGGGGTTAAACTAAAATCATTTAACTGATTAATTCAAGATTTAAGTCCATCACAGTTTCCAGAAACTTGTAACAACAATTCACACAGCAACACCGACAAAATAATCACACATCGTATATAGTTGCGGCAAGAAACGGCTTGGTTCTAGGATGTGTGCATTTTAAAATTTGAAAATTCTAAAAATATGTAGTTGGAATTTGTTGTTGTCTGTAATCCGATGATAATAAAATTCTGTGTGGTTTTTAGTATGTTTCAAGGGAAAATAGTAATTGGGGGGGAGGGGCGGGGGGGGGGGGGGGGGGGCGGGGGGGGGGGGGGGGGGGGGGGGGGGCGGGGGGGGGGGGGGGGGGGTGGGGGGGGGGGGGGGGGGGGGGGGGCGGGGGTGGGGGGGGGGGGGGGGGGG